AGCAAAGCTCTGAGAAACAGACTTTGGCCGTGACTCACTCCGTATGCTTTGCCCCGTCGTTCGTACCGTGTTGTGACCGTTTGACACTTGACTGAGGCATTCTGAGAGCAAAGCACCTTTATGTTTGTGCAAACTAGGCAAACAAAGAAATGTCATATTTTCACAGCTATGCAAATATTTGCAAAGTATCGTGACTGCGGTTTGGAGTAAGGTGTTTCGCAGACTCTGAACCAAACTTCTGCTGGATTGAAGAGTCAGCCACTGGAATTTACTCGTTTGTTCTGGTTTCCCGTTGCTTAAATGGGTTTACTGAAGGTTTCCTGCGGTTTCCAATGGCACGTTTGTTTTGGTTTTCATGCATTTGCTACGGTTTCTGACGGGTTTCTGATGGTTTGTTTCCGTCTGGTTTCCGACGGTTTCCGACAGTTTTCCATTGTTTCATCGGTTTCCAATGGTTTGATCTGGGTTTTCCAGTGCGGTTTCTCGTGGGTTTCCAGCGGTTTCATAGTTGTGTGGGTTTCCTCGCGGTTCCCATGGGTTTCCTGCAGGTTTCTTGCGGTTTCCTTACATTTGCTCTGGTCTTCAAGAGACAAGTAGAGTCGTGACCTCGCACTGTTCTAGCAGCGACACACACAGAGGCGGTGCAAAGTTGTACGGTCTGAAGCATCTGGCATCTGTCTTGTGTTAGGTAGCTATGGAGCGGGCTTCTCGGAGGCTGGCTTTGCCTTGACGACGTGGTTTTATGGATCAGATGTGTCAGATCCTAACCCAAGAGCTTCAAGAGCTCAAGCGTTGCCGTGCAGAGTTCAAAGCACGCAGCCGTGCGCTGGCCCTACAAGAGAAGAACTGAAAGAAAAGACGCGCAAAGCAGGCATGTCCGTGCGACAGATGGAGAGGCTCAAACGGGCCACAGTCAACAGCTGTTCTTGTGGTGCAGGCAGCCAGGCAACCAAGTAAAGAAGACTTCTCTTGTTGCGTGAAGGCTGGTGCAAAACTTTGTCTCGGTGCATGGCTGAGAATGCAGGTGCCTCGCGACGTCCTGGTCGTTCCACCTGTTGGGACGGCAAGGTTTGAAAGAGAGTGTGAGAAAGCGTGTGAGTGAGAGTGAGAGTGAGAGTGAAAGTGAGAGTGAGAGTGAGAGTGAGAGTGAGAGTGAGAGTGAGAGTGAGAGTGCGAGTGAGCGTGAGCGTGTGACCGTGCACGTGAGCGCGACCTTGACCGTGAGCATGAGCGTGAGCAAGTGCGTGAGCGTGAGCGTCAGAGTGAGAGTCGAGAGTGAGAGTGAGCGTGAGAGTGAGAGTGAGCGTGAGAGTGAGCCTGAGCGTGAGCGTGAGAGTCAATGAGCGTGAGCGCGAGAGTGAGACTGAGAGGGAGAGTGAGTGAGCGTGAGCGTGAGAGTCAGAGTGAGAGTGAGAGTGAGCGTGAGCGTGAGAGTGCGAGTGAGCGTGAGGGTGAGCGTGAGCGTGAACGTGAGCGTGAGCGTGATTTTGACTGCGACTGTGACTGTGAGCGTGAGCGTTACAGCGTGAGTGTGTGAGAGTGTGAGAGTGACAGTGCGTGAGAGTGAGCGTGAGAGCGAGCGTGAGAGCGAGTGAGCGTGAGCGTGGGAGTGAGAGTGAGTGTGAGAGTGAGCGTGAGCATGAGCGTGAGAGTGAGCGTGAGCATGAGCAGCGTGAACAGCGTGAGCATGAGCGTGAGCGTGAGAGTGAGCGTGAGAGTGAGCGTAGCAGCGTGAGCAGCGTGAGCGTGAGAGTGAGCGTGAGAGTGAGTGAGAGTGAGGGTGAGCGAGACGTGAGCGTGAGAGTGAGTGTGAGCGTGAGCATGAGCGTGAGAGTGAGCGTGAGAGTGAGCGTGAGAGCGAGCGTGAGAGTGAGCGTGAGAGTAAGTGTGAGAGTGAGCGTGAGCGTGAGAGTGAGAGAGTGAGAGTGTCTTGTTTTGCTGGAAGGTGCGCCGAACGCGGAGCACGTGGATATCCTTGAAGTTGAGGATGGCGCTGAGGGAGGCAGTTAGCGGTGCGGCCTGAATATGCCTGAATGTTGGCGGCTGCTGCTGCTTTGTCGTCACTTGTGGGAGAGGTGAGCACGCGTCCGGTTCAGGACCGAGCTGAGGGTGGTGAGCGTGAGAGTGAGCTTGAGAGTCAGTGACGTGAGAGAGCGTGAGAGTGAGTGTGAGAGTGTGAGAGAGCGTGAGCGTGAGCAGAGTGAGCGTGAGCGTGAGAGTCAGTGAGCGTGAGTGTGAGAGTGTGAGAGTGAGCGTGAGCGTGATCAGCTTGAGCAGCGGGAGCGTGAGCGTGAGAGTGAGCGTGAGAGTGAGTGCGTGAGAGTGAGTGAGAGTGAGCGTGAGCGTGAGGGTGAGAGTGAGAGTGAGGGTGAGGGTGAGAGCGAGAGTGAGCGTGAGCGTGAGCGTGAGAGTGAGTGTGAGAGTGAGCGTGAGCATGAGCGTGAGAGTGAGCATGAGAGTGAGCGTGAGAGCGAGCGTGAGAGTGAGCGTGAGAGTGAGCGTGAGAGCGAGCGTGAGAGTGAGCGTGAGAGTAAGTGTGAGAGTGAGCGTGAGCGTGAGCGTGAGAGAGTGAGAGTGAGAACGCGGAGCACGTGGTGATCCTATTGAAGTTGAGGAGGGAGCTGAGGGAGGCAGCTAGCGGTGCGGCCTGAATATGCCTGAATATATAATCACGTTGACTGTTGGCGTCTGCTGCTGCTTTGTGGTCACTTGTGGGAGGGCATCCGGTTCAGAACCGAGCCATATGATTTCCAGCAAACACAGCCTGTGGGCAGGCCTGGGCGAAGACGAGCGGGCTCGCGACGCAGGATGCTCTTGGTGTGGCTCGTGCAGCATCGTCCTGATTGCTTTGCACGCAGGAGCAGGCCAAGACATCGTCGAAGTTTCTGACGCAGACGCAGACTAAGAGCGAAAGCCATAGGGCCAGCTTCTCTCCATAGCTTTTTCCGGTTGCACCACGCCGTCACAACTTAGACCCAGGATGCGTCAGAACAGTTGCTGAGAGAGGTTCAGAAAGTGATTTCTCCGGGCCCGATTCTCATCTGCGTTAGAGCAAATCCTCGAAGGTTGGAACTTCTTGCTCCAGAAGCGCGACCGAAACAGCTGTCGGCAGAAACAGCGGGGGGGTTTGGGGGGGACCCCCCATTTGCAAACACAATGCTTTGGGCAGCCAGTTCAAGAGACCTGACACTTGCTGGGCCTTTTTAAGTCCCCAAAGCCCCCTAGGTTTCGGCAGCAGTGTAAGAGGCCCCACAGCAAAAAAGATTAAGATAGTGTCCCGGGCAAATGATGGAGCTCATGCCTTTGGAATCCGGCGGCGAGCGCCATACAACTACCTTGCAAGCCCAGTGCCGCCCAGCCCAAAAGCTCCCCTCCTCCAGTCCGGGCTCAATCCAAGTCCAAAGAGTAGAAGGACCTGGACTGCTTCTAAACCCAGAGGGCCAGTGGCTCTGCTGGCCCAATCCAGACTCTCGTGGCCCGAGTCGAGCATTTAGGGTTTAGGGTTTAGGGTTTAGGGTTTAGGGTTTGAGGTTATAGGGTTTGGGGTTTAGGGTTTAGGGTTCAGGACATCCATGAATTCAGTGGAGTTCGTGATGTCCAGTTTGTTTTGCACCGACCGCAACGACAAGCGGACAAGTGGGCAATTTGCCGGTTCTCCCTGTGTACGCTTTGTAAATCTCCTTCGCGGCCTTCCCAGCAGGTTCGGTTGCTTCCAATGATTCCCTTCAGATGTCCTGTTATGCCAGGAAAAAGCCCATCCCGTCGAGGTTTCTGGATTCCCTGTCGTCTGCTGAATCAGGAACAGCTTTCCAAACGTTTTGGTTTCTTGCGTTGAGTTTTGAGATTGGAACGTCTAGTTCTAGGCTTAGTCGACAACTTTTTAAAACCACCAAAAAAGCCTTAGAAGGCAGGACGCCCTGCTTACAGTTGGAATCAAACTTTTGGACTGTTGAAAACTTTTCGAACCTTCAGAATGTCAAGATCCCACGATAATTTCAAAATTTGCAACAATTTGCAATCTTTCGAAAAGGCTTGAAGCTTCGCAGGGTCCCTAAATCGATTATAACTCCAAGTTTTTGTCGCGCTTTGAAGGGCAGTTGAAATTTTAGTTCTGAAATGTCTGTGCATTCTATCTGAAAATTCTAGAGCGCGCACAGATCTAGGGTCTTTGAGATGTTCCAGAACCTGCAGAATTTAGAATTAGGGTTTTAGGATGTTTGGGCGTTTTCTCCCTTGTTTTTAAGCTTCCTGCGCCGTCCCCGGAAAAGTAACCAAACACTGTGCGGAACTTGAACCTGCTTCCCAGTCGTGGGCCAGAGGCAGGAGCCTTTTGTAGCCGTTCTGACCTCCCCCACGCATCACGCTGCCTTGGCTTCCACACTGCCTCTCGATGGCATGGGTCGCCACGTTGTGGAATCTGACTCCAGGCTCTTCTTTCGGCAAGCCCACATGCAGCCACAGAATCGACAGCAAGGAATAGCGCCTCGGCCATCTCCAGCAAACCAGGACTACCATTAACCATACAAAGCTCAAACATCCCTTCCCGGAACCATCTCTCATCCCCCCCCCCCGCAAAAAAAATTTTAAATCAGGGTGGAATCCGTATGTTTCAATGAGTTTTGTTTGCGACTTGGGTTGGACGCAAGAGAACTCCTCCACGAGCTTCATTCCGTTGGCTTCCAAGCCAAGGACCAGTTTTGCCAGTTTTGCGGAAATGGCACACAGCATGCCACATGATGCATGAGAAACCTTCCCTTTGCAAAGGTTGTGGGAGCAATTTCAATGCGGACCAGTTTTGAACCATTTGTGTATCCAGCGGCTGTACCCGCGTTTGTCTGAGTTGCTTGTCGCTCGTGCTGCCCGGTGCCCATTTGAGTGCAATTCTAGTTTTGGGGCGGCATCCTGCTAAGTAGCCATTGCTCAGCGGTAACTTTTGTGAATCCGCAAGGTTTGCCTCAGATGTTCCCAGTAGTTTGCCAATTTTTCGAGTCTGACGCCCCATGCGATTGCAAGTCCTGCTCATCTTGCCAATAGCACTTGCCGTACGTGAGTGGGCGGCGATTGAGGATGACCTGGATGAGCCTAAGTTGGATAAGCTTGGGGCAATGACCCAGTCAGTGCTCAAAGCTCTCAATCACGATGCCCCGGTGCAGATCACTTTTGACGACGAGCCCTGGGTAAACATCGCGCCTCGATTCTCCATCTGGACGGCCATTCCCATGACCCAGAACAAAGGCCGGGGCCAAGGTTCTGTACCCTCCCCCCCAAAGCTCTGACTAGAATGTCCCTTTATGAAGAAGAATGTCGGGTTTAGGGTTTAGGGTTTAGGGTTTAGGGTTTAGGGTTTAGGGTTTAGGGTTTAGGGTTTAGGGTTTAAGGTTTAGGGTTTAGGGTTCGGGGTCAAGCCCTTCAGGTGATCTCGTCATCTCCGGGGGTGTTTACAACATCGTGAAGCTGCTGGAGTCTCGCGACATGCCAATCTCTTGCCCTGTTCTTTGGGCGCAAAACCGCTGGGAAGCCTATCTCTCCGTCACAAAGGAAGCACAGAAGGGTGGCCAGGTTCTGTTCGGCGCAGTGACCAAGGGAGTTGTGGACATTGCAGATATTGGACACCTGAAAACTGTCTTGGACAAAATGATCGGTGTCCCAGGCTTCACGAACCCAGTGCAAGGCTTGAGTGCAGCCCTCAAGCAAGGTGAAGCGCTGGCATCCCTGAGGTCGGCAGCGTTTGCACCCGCGAGGCCTGGAGAGAACAGTACCTTCGACCAGGTGTCGAAAGCAATCTACGGTGCGAAGCTGCAGTGGCAAAGGGTGCAGAACACGAAGCGCGTCGTGCGCTTCATGCTTGGCCCGCATTACACGGAGTCTGGAGCTTATGACTTGCAGATGAGCTGCATGCAGCCCGACCCGGACCGCAGTGCCTACGTCTACGTCCCGCATCCTGATCCCGATGCCCCTCCAGTACAGCTCAGGACGCCCATGCTGGCTGGTTTCATCCTTGCCATTTCATAAGGTGCCAAACGGATGTGGCACATTCCACAGAGAACGATTGGAGATAGATCCGCAAGCCAGTGATCGGCAGCCAAACTGTGTGAAGGTTGTCTGCGGTGCCGTATTGCCAGTATCAGGAGACTTCTGTACCGCCTGCAGTTCGTTCATAATCACCTTCGGATTCGGCAAGGGGCTGTTGTTGCAAACAGGTCAGGGCATTCACCAAAAGAAGGTATCTTGCACCCTGCTGCGTCGAACCCACTTCCCTGACCCCCTACATCCCTTGGCCCTTAAGCCCCTAAGCTCCCTAAGAAGCCATGAGGTTGAATGTAAAGCTTCTCCTTTTGAATATGAAGTAGGACATGGTCGAATATGTTGGAGGCGTCCAGGGTCGAGAGCCCAATGTGCGAGCCCCCAGCCCCTCGCCCCTACGAGGCTATACGGCGCTTGTTCTTTGGTCTCGCGCACATTTGCTAAACCCTGAACCCTGAACCCTGAACCCTGAACCCTGAACCCTGAGCCCTGAACCCTAAACCTTCCTCAAGACGCCGGCTCCAGCGTGTGATGGGTGTGTTTGTAGCTGTGGCCTGTAGCAATACCTTGTGCATCCTAGTCAGCTTGTGTTGTAAGAAAAAGTCAAGGATGCGTGCAGCAGCCTCACTACCTGACTTACTGATCTCTACTGATCTCTTTTTGTCTCGTTTCTGCACGGCGTCTGTGCCATGACAGTGGGCATCTCAAGAGGCTACGAGCCCGGGCGAGTGCTGCTCATTCTGCCCACCACTGACATAGGCAGATGCCGGTCTCAAGTCAGTTCTCAGCTATTTTGAATAAAGCATACAGCCTGAGTATTAGGAGACAGCACGTAAGTAGATGTCTTGCATTGTAGTCGCACGCTGGCACTCATGAGTGTTCGATGTCTGTTGGCAGGTACCAAGCACGCAGCCCTTGCAGAAGATGGATCATTGCATCCCGACCTCCAGCAGGCCTCGCGCCTGCTCGCAGAAGCAGAGACTGCACTCCGAAACTTGGCAGCCCAGTGGTACCCTTTTCTTTATTTTTGGTTCAAGGTTTCTTTACAAAGTATCCAACCCCAAAAGTTTGCCCTTATTTTTTAACATGGCTATTGGGCTTCCAAGGAAAAGGCGCCATCGAAGCGTCCCAATCCGATGCCAAGAAGGCCCTGGAACAGTTTCGTGCCAGCAAAAGTGCCCAGGGGATCTCCGACGCCACCCGCGTGCGACTGGCACGCACGCTGAGCACATCTGTTTCAGTTTTCCTTGTGGCTTCGTGCACTCCAGAATCAGATATCCAGTGTAGGATCTCGAGAGCCCGAGTCCCTAAACCCTAAACCCTAAACCCTGAACCCTAATCCCTAAGCCTAGTAAATGACCCTTCTGCTGCCCCAAAAAAACAAACCAAGGGCGATGTGCGCCCTCGCGGAGTTCGAGTCTCGTAAAGAGGCTCTGGCCCTGGGCCAAGAACACCTCAAGGCGGGGCCTCCCAAAGCCTTAAAATCCCTAAACCCTAAACCCTAAGCCTCAACCATAGGGTTTCGGGCGTCTTGGAGTGCGACGATGGGGGGTTCAGACTTTCGGCCTACAGCCCCAAAAAGCCATGCAGTCTTTATGAGCTCTGAGGTTCTAAGAGGAGACCCTCGAAGCCCAAAAGAAGCTCTCTGAGCCGGGGAAGCCCTGAAAGCCCTCTGCGCCCGGCAACGAAAACATAAAGCCGCCCCGAACCCGTGAACCGTAAGCCCTCGACTCCGAACCCCTGCGGTTTGGGGTTTGGGGTTTGGGGTTTAGGGCTTAGGGAGTAAAAGTTCAAGGGGTTTGGGGTTTAGGGTTACTTGGTTCAGGGCTTAGGGTTTCTGGCAGTCCAGGTCAGCAAACCCCCCCCAGCCCGGCCAGGAGGTGCGGGGAGCCGGGAACAAGGAGCAGGAGGCCATGGCTCTCCAATCCCTCGCCGAGGTGGACGGGGCAGACAGGGTTTAGGGTTTAGGGTTTCGGGTTTAGGGTTTAGGGTTACTTGGGTAGGGTTACTTGGGTTGGGGGCTTTAGTGTTTGGAGGGGTTGCTCGGGTTTTGGGTTTGAGGTCGTTTGGGTGCGGGGATGCCGGGGTTCGGCTTTGCACCCTCTGTCTACCCTAAACCCTATAAACCCTAAACCCTAAACCAAGACCCTAAACCCGAAGACCTAAACAACTAAACCCTAGGTCCTCAGCCATGAGGTCTAGACCCTGAGCCGCCTTGAGCTCTAGAAAGCCTAGGAATCGGGTCAGGCATGCCCCTTTATGCCCCTTTTAACCGCAAGCGTGATTCTATCAACTGCGAACGGCCGTATGTTGTTGCGTCCTGGTTATAAATTTAGGCTTGAGGGATTACTTTGAGGGGACTAGGGGCTAGGGTTTACAGTTCTTCTTGCCAAAGAAGGAATAAGGTTGCTTTAGGAGCTTAGGGGCTTAGGACTTCATAGGCCTCTCCGAATTTGCTGCTGCGCCTCTTCTTCGTATCAAGTAACCCATTCGGCCAGTTTCGAAAGCGTTCTAAGCAAACATAGGTTCTGGATTCGATTCCTGGACGAATTTTCGGGTCGAGCAGTAAGCTACCTACAATTAGGTCGAATACGACTTCAACTTCCACTCAGCTTCTAGTTCAAATCCGTCAAAACCCCTCCCAACAAGCCTTCCAACGTACAGAACCCTACACGCCCCAAACCCTGACCCCCAAAGCCCAAACCCTAAACCCCAAACCCTAAACCCCACACCCCAAACCCTGAACCCTAAAACCTTGAACTCTATAGCCTGAAACCTAAACCCGACCCGCAAACAAAGAGCCTCGAAGCTCAGGTGGCCACTTTCCGATGCCGCGGGGACATGCGTGACCAGGCCATCGCCTGGGCAGAGGAGGCCCACAAGCTTAGGGCTTCGGGCTTTAAACCCTAAACCCTAAACCCTAAACCCTAAACCCTAAACGCTAAACGCTAAACGCTACACCCTCTCAGGATTTAAGGACTTAGAGATTTGAGGGGGGTCAGGCCTCTAGGGGTCCAGAGGTCAGGGGTTTAGGGTTTGGGAGGGGGGGGGGGTGGGTGTTGCAAAGAGTTTGGGGATTATGTTTTTTTTTTGTGTCTGGGGGGGGGGAGTGTGTGGAGAGTTTTGCGAGGTTTGGCCCAATCTAGGGCCCACAAGCTCTGTGACCCACAAGGCTCTGAAAATGCTCCCCAAACCCCCCTGTCTTACTATTATTGTTATGATTTTTCATTATTATCATTGTTATTGTTTTCTTTCTTTGGGGGAGGTCACTGAGTCCAGGGTTCAGGAAGAGGGTTCAGAGTTTTGGGGTCAGGGAGTGCGAGGGCTTTCAGTCTAAGGCGTGTTGGGCTTGTAAATACTTTGGGTCCGCTGGGCCCTGAATCACGAATCCGAAAACCTGCGTGGGGCCGCCAATCCTCAGCCCTTAACCCTAAGCCAAAGAACACTCTAAATCTGAACCCTGAACCCTGAACCCTAAACCCTAAACCCTAAACCCTAAACCCTAAACCCTCCTAAACCCGAATTCCCGAAGCCTTTTGTTTTGGGAGGCGATCGCGCTCCGCCGGGAGCTGGGCCTCGAAGCTGACATTCGGAGATGGGGAGATGGGGGGGTTTTGGGAGGGCTTTTTGGGGACTTTAGAGCCCTTAAATCCCAAACCCCAAACCCTAAACCCCAAAGCCTGAACCCTACCCGTAGGGTACGGGTTTAGGAGACGACTCACCCTGAAATAAGTCGTAATTGCAGTAGGGTCTTCTTTTGGATGGGGGTTTCGGTAGTTTCGGGCCGTAGTGTCGTTGAGTTTCGGATCTCAGCCCTGGCCGGTTTCAGGGCTTTCGGGGTATTCGGTTCGCTTTGTTTTTACTCGTCATGCCGGTTCAGGCTTTGCATGTTTCAGGCTCCGCGCTCCCGGCTTTGGGTCACGGGGCTTCCGGGTTGTAGGGTTCCGGGCTCTCGTGGCGGCGGCGGGGAAACTGACTCTTGCGGAAGCTGGGCGTGCCTAGTTTAGGTGTGGTAGAGGATGCCATGAATGTTTGGCCAGTACGTTTGAAGTGCTTAGGGATCTGCACATTGATTTTGTATTCTGAATTCCAAACCCTAAGGGCTTTCTTCTCTGAACCGTGGAGTAGAGGGCTTTGAGTCTTCTGGCAGCCTCAGTTTGGAGCATCGAGGCGACAAGAAACTGGAAGGCTACGCTCTGCTGGCTTCTGCGTCGGCGTGCACGCAGAAGAGCCACGTGGCTGACCCCTTCACGGTTTAGGGTTTTGGGTTTTGGGTTTAGGGCTCATTTTGTGTTCGTTTCTCATGGGGCTTGCATAGATTCAAGGCCTTGGGGTTCATCCCCTGGGGATTTCTTGTATGTCAGAGATTTCGGGCCACCTTTCGTAGGTAACTGCTGTAAAGAGAAAGCAAGTCCTGATACAAGAATACCAACTAGGGTCCCCCCTGCTCTATGGTTTGCATTTATCTTCGAATTCCGTATTCAGGAAGGTCGGCATGTTGAAAGAGTTTCTGATTTGGCTCTGGAGTCTTCCAAGCGCCGAAACTCTCAAGTACCCGACCCCCAAAACCTCTGAGTTTCCAAAGCGTGCTTCCGATTTTTCCTTGGCTCTCATATATGTTGCATGTAACATTTGCCTGGACCGTAGGACCTAAACTCGTAGCCCTACACCTTTTAAAGCCCTAACCCCTAAACCCCGAAACCCTGCACCCTAACCCCTAAACCCTAAACCCTACACCCTAAACCCGAACCGAAACCCCTAAACCCTAAACCCTAAACCCCAAACCCTCAGCCCTAAACCCTAAACCCCTACACCCTCCCTCAAAGCCTTGCTCCAGGTGTGAAAGCCCATCAGCGGAAGCATTACCTTAGAGCCATCAAGGCGCTGAAGGCAGGAGCGGACCAACCTCAGGAGCCATCATTCCAAGGGTTTAGGGTTTAGGGTTTGGGGTTTGGGGTTTGGGGTTTAGGGTTTCGGGTTTGGGGTTCAGGGCTTAGGGTTCAGGGTGTGCGGTTTAGAGTCAAAAGGGGCCTGGGAGCTTCTGAGGGGAACTCTTGACCCCCATAGGACAGGTTCCGTGAAGGTTTTCTTGAACTCATGTCCGCTTCTCTAAAAATGCTCCTTTCTTAAGGGCGGGGCCCTAGACCTAAGGGGGCGTAGTGCAACGGGTCGTCGCGAGCAAAGCAGTCTGAGTTCTGAGTATGGTTAAACCAAAATCCATGAGAACCCGGGATGTAGTGTTCCTACTACGCTAAGCCCAACCTCTAAACCCAAACTCTACAAGGAGGGGGAAGGTCTATTGACAAGCTGGGGTGCTCTTCCTTGGGTTCCTGAGAACGAAAAGGAGGCTTCACCCTGCATTTTCCTTTGTTGGAGGTTCCCACATTTTTTAAGATTGACTTTGACCACGTCCTCATCGCGAACACCCCTAAGCTTCAAGTCTGACCTTTGGGTTGGAGGAGAGGTTCAGGGTTTAGGGCTTGGAGGTTTGGGGGGGAGCGTTTATTGTTATTCTTACAGTCTTGTTAGTGTTCTTGTTCTTGTTCTTGTGCTTCTTCAGAATTTGTCGAGGTGTATGATGTAGGGTTTAGGACTGAGGCATATGGCTTCTGGCCGCACTTGATGTGTAGATCAAGCCAGGGAAGTTCGTTTCTTTGCTTGAATGTAGGCGGCCATGCAGCTCTTTGCCGAATGCCCCGAGGAGGACGCCCCAGGGCTTGTCGGGAGCCTTAAGCCCCCTTAAGCCCCCTTAAGCCCCCTAAAGCCCCCTTAAGCCCCCTTAAGCCCCCTTAAGCCCCCTTAAGCCCCCTTAAGCCCCCTTAACCTATAAACAACCCTACAACTCTACAACCCTGCAACCGTACACCCTAGAAGCCCAAACCCTGCAACCCGAAATCCTCCAAAAAACTCCTTGAACCTGGAAATCCCTACTCACCCGTCCCTTAGAAGTCAGGGCTAAGGGTCCCCTAAGCCCTAAACCCTAAACCCTCCTAAACCTCTATGGAAGTTGAGGTCTTCGGGACAATCCCCATCCCCCCTTTGGGATCCGAGGGGACCCGTTTGCTCTCCAGGACGTCGTGGGCCGCAGTGGACAGGCCCTGCCTCCCCAAACCCTAAACCTTACACCCTAAACTTTGAAGCCGAAACTCCAAAACCAGAAGCCCAGGACGCCAGCCGTGAAGCCTGAACCCTGAACCCTGAACCCTCAACCCAAAACCCAAAACCCAAAACCCCAGATGCCGAACCCCCAAGTCCATGGTCCCTAGATTCAATCGTTCCTGGAAGGGTTTCAGGCCGGGGATCCGGGAGCTAGTTTCATGGCTTTTGGGTTTCAGGGCTCATGGTTCAGGGTTCATGGCTTGAGGTTTCAGGGTTCAGTATTTAGCAACCCTATAAGGCCCTGGGACCCTAAAGCCAACACCTTTGGATCCCAAACCCTATGAGGCCCTAGGACCCTAAAGCCCACACCCCCAAATCCTCAACCCTATAACGCCCTGCAACCTTAAGGCCTACAGCCTGAAATCCTCAACCCTAAGCCCAAACACCCTAACCCTAACCCTAAACCCTAAACCCTAAACCCTAAACCCTAAACCCCAAACCCCAAACCCTAAACCCTAAAACCCTAAACCCTAAACCCCCCATAAGACCCCATTTAAGCTCCCAACCCCTAAGCCCGGCCAGGCTCGGGCCCTCCACGGCCTGGCTTCTGCGACGGGCCGTCTCGAGGCGCACTGGAGCTCCCTAGATTTCGGGTTTAGGGTTTAGGGTTGAGGGTTTAGGGTTTAGGGTTTAGTAGGGGGTTGAGGGGCTTAGTGGTTCAGGGGTTCAAGGGTGTGGGGGTTGAGGGGTTTACAGCTCCGGCTAAATAGGGTTAGTTTATGGGGGTTAGGGCCGGTTAGGGTTAGGGGTTTAGTTTTTCGTTCTGCCTCGAGTCTAAGCTCATTTGTGTTTTTTGGGTTGTATGTTCAGGTTTTAAGTAGTCGAGGGTTTTACGGTTTTTAGGGTTACTTACTTGCTTGGCGTTTTCGGGTATGCAGGTGTGATGCTCTGCTTGATTCTGCGACATAACTGTGCTGAGTTCATGACCGTATGCCAGAACTACTTGGGGTTTCGTGGGTACTTATAACCCCAATCATAACTTTGCTTGTAACCTACTTCGAGGACCAGGGGGCTCACAATTGGGGTTAGAAGTACCCATGAACCCCAAGTGAACGACTTGCCGAGAGCAGGATTTTCGAAAGTCCGTCTCGCACGCCCGCGAAGCGGCGGCGCTTTTCCAACAGCTGGACCTACGTGACGTCGGCTGCGACTTGAGAGTTCGGGGCCTTGTGAAGGTTCGGCAGTGGATGCAAGGAGTTCGGATTGGGGCTTAGCTCTTTCGGCTCATGTGCAGGGGACGCCGGGGTGTTAGTGAGGAGTCAGGGCTAGGGACGGCCCCATCAACCGGAAACCTCACCCCAAAGCCCAACATCCTGAACATCCGGAATGCACACTTGAGCCTCAAGCTATACCAATTAGAGTCTTGAAGCAAGGCTACCATTGGCATGGCATCACAGCTGAAGAAAATCGGTTGCCTTCAGAATCCCTCAACTGCAAGCGCTCTCTCTCTTTTGCAGGCCTTTTAAGAATTATCAAATGTCCTTTCGTAGGCCTAAATCCAACCAGCATGTGCCAGTTCAGGTAACTCCAAGTTCGCAACAAGACCATTGTTGCCAGTGCCCGCGTGCCCCCCCCCCCCCCCCCACCACACCCTGAACCTTCCGATAGCTATACTTGGAGACTCGTGGGTGGCTCTTCAGAAATGGGGGTTCTGAGGCATGGAGGCGCATCCAGAACCCCGCTTCGAACCACCCACCCTAACCTGAAACCTGAAACCCTAAGCTCGAAACTCCCCCGGACCCTGAACCCTATACATCGTCTTGTGGTTCTAAAGAGCTTCTGAGGAAAGGAGGAGGGCCTTGAGCTGGAGTTTCTTGCCCGGCTGCAGTTGCAGCTGGGCCACTACAAGGCCCGCGCTGGGCAGTTGAAGCCTTAACCCCCGAACTGTCCTCACTTGGGATGCTCCCCCTTAAGCTAACAGTCCTTAATTGGGATTCTAGTACCCCCTGTTTGAATCCCTACTAAGGACTGTTAATATAAGGGGGAACATCCTCAGCCCTCAGCCCCAAGCCGAACCCTAGCAACGAAGCCTTCTTGCTTGTCTTTTTGCTGGGTTTTGGGAGTCGGGGGATGTAGGGTTTAAGGTTTTTCAAGGATCCCACGAGAGATCCTCGCCCCTTATGTCCCTTAGCAACCTTAAGCCCGGCAACCCTGCAAGCCTGGTAGTCCCTTTGTTCTGGGGTCCTTCTGCAAAACCCCTTGGGGATCCTATGAGGCATGAGGCAAAGGGTGTAGCATGTAGGGTTTAGGGTTTGGGCTTTCGGCTTTAGGGTTAGAGTTTAGCGGTTTGGGGTTTGGGGTTTGGAGGTTTGGGGCTTTTGGGGCTTTTGGGGCTTTTGGGGCTTTTGGGGGCTTTTGGGGGCTTTTGGGGGCTTTTGAGGGGATTAGGACTTTTTGGGCTTATCCGGCTTATGGGGTTTGCAGGTCTGGGGCGTTTGCCCTGTTGGACCCCGAGCCTGGCTAGGCTTTAAGCTTCCCTAAGCGCGACGCGCCTTGACTTTGCCCAGGAGGGCCGGAAGTCTGCAGAGGACGGTGGCTGCGCACCTCACGGAATCCTACACAACTCCCCTCACCAACACACGAAGGGCTGAGGGTTCTCGAAGGGCCGCAGCCACCACGAAATGGGCCCGGACAATCCACCCGAGAGAAGGTCTTTTGCGCAGGCATGGGCTCCCAAAACCCCGGTTCCTCAGTGAACGTCAACCCTGAGCCTCACATTCCCTGAATACCCTTGATACCCCACGTACCCTTTATACCCTGAAGACCCCAAAGAACCAAAAGCCCTGGATCCGAAACCTAGTGAACCCCAAGCTCTGAAGCATGAGGATTGTTGTCAGGGACGGGGAGGCATGATATACTTTGAGGCCCTAGGGTTGCGCAGACGTTCGGATTTTTAGGGTTAAACCCGAAGCTCTCCTAAACCCTAAACCCTAAACCCTAAACCCTAGACCCTGAACCCTAGACCCCAAACCCGAGACCCTAAAATCCAGGAGAGTCGGATGCGTCTGATGCCTCTTGGATAGAGTTCCAATTCCCAGCCCTTGCAAACCCTCTGAATCCCACAGCGACGGGTCCCCTTGATCATCAGCAGAATGATGGCCCTAGGTTGGGCTGCAAGAAATTATCACTTAGGTTAGTCCCTGACCTCCAGTCAGTACTTTCTAAGCCTCTGCGCCCCGTGCCAGGAGGCCCTCAAGATTTTCATCAAGCAGGGCAACTCCACCTGGCAGGGCGTCGCGCTGCGCACCTGCGTCAAGGTCCGGCGCGGGTGGGTAGCACATGTCGCATGTATATATATATATATATATGTATACATATCTTGTATAAACATATACAATATAGTTTCCATGTCGGTTTTGAGGTTGTGCTTCAAACGAACTTCTTGGCCTCCAGAATCCAGGGAATTCCCAGTGTCCGATGCGCCGGTCGTTCCGACAGCAGGCCCAAGTGCCCACAGAAAGCTGACCACCCCAAACTACCAAGCCTAGTTGGAGAATAGCCAGGGTTTAGGACCAAATATAGGGTCACACAAAGGTTCGCAGCAGAAAGACAGCGCTTGCTAGTCTTGCTTGCAAAGGCACCCCTCAAGCAGTTGTGGGCGCCATGGCATCCATCGTTCGGTTCGCTCACAGAAGAGGACCCATGGGCTGGACACACCATGCCCTGAAGGTTCTGGATCGCGAGCGGCATCGATGTGCTAGCACCCCTCTGCTGAGCATGGCTGATGGTATGGTCCAGCCCAAGTTTGGTAGCAACGCCTTCGCGATGAATGGCTGTGGTGGTGGTGATGGTATTGACCTGTACTTCAAGGACGAGTCGGTTCATCAGTCAGGATCTCTCAAGCATCGATTGGCACGTAGCCTTTTCCTTTACAAGATATCCTCGGGTCAGATCCGAGAAGGGACCACTTGCATTGAGGCCTCCAGTGGATCCACCGCCATTTCCGAAGCCTACTTCGCTCGCCTGCTTGGGCTGCCCTTCATTGCAGTCGTAGCATCGACCACCGCCAAGAGCAAGCTGCGGTGCATTGAGAGGCTCGGAGCCACATGTGTGTTGGTCGATTCTGCCGACCAAGTCTACGCCGAGGCGCAAGCCATCGAGGCGAAGCTGAACCAGAGAAGCGGTGACTCCTTTGGAGGCCACTACATGGATCAGTTCACCAACGCCGAGAGAGCTACCGACTGGAAGGGCAACAACAACCTCGCGGAAGATATCCTCCACCAGATGGAAGTAGAGCGACACCCGGTTCCCTCCTATGTTGTTGTAGGAGCTGGAACCGGTGGTACGGCCACCACGCTGGGACGTTTCATGCACTACAACGACTATGACACCCAAATCTGTGTCGTTGATCCCGAGAACTCCGTATTTTACGATTGCTTTCGAACCGGCGACACTTCCCTTGTTCTGGGAGACGGCGACAGCAGCATCCCTCCCGAAGAATCAGGAATTGTGCCCAAATCCGGTCATGGCCGATCCATGATTGAAGGAATCGGCCGTCCACGAGTCGAGCCCAGCTTTGTGCCCTCCGCCGTTGACACCATGATTCGAGTGCCCGACGCAGCTTCTTACGCTGCCATGCACTTTCTCAACGACTTGGGAATCAGTTCCAATATGCCCGGCGCATCGAGCGGTACGAATCTCTATGGTTCCATTGTCCTGATCGATGAAATGCGACGAAACGGACAGGATGGGAGCCTGGTCACTCTCATCTGTGACCGCGGAGACCGCTACTTGGATACATACTACAACCAGGAGTGGCTGAGAGAGAACGGTTTTGATCTGGAGCCTTACTTAGAGCAGATCCGAAACTTCTGGGAGACGGGTACCCTGAAGAAAGTGGGAAGGTCGCACAGTGTTGCAAAGCACTAGATCTTAGGCTTTTTCTTGGGCCGCAGTCCCGTGGACGCACGATATTCCCGGCAGGCTGGCAGGAGGAGGGTTCATTTCTGAAGCTCGGGGTTTTTTCTGCCCAAACGTGGCTTTTCCCCGAGGTGCCAGTGTGTTCATCACCTCCAGCTCCTCCACTTGTACAGGTGAAAGGGGGATGCGCGGGCCTGAGAAGTACAGCATCGGGCTGGTGCGCGGAACGGCGAAGTGAATTATCTGTCCGAAAACGTCTGTCACTTTCAGCAAGTTCGGGGTTCCAAACTTGTAGGAAGTAGCATTCCTAGTGTTGCTACTGTTGCAGAGCATCCTAAGGGAGGGGCGTTAGGTCGAGGCTTGGGGTTAGCGAGTGTTCGCGGCCTCTTGGTGTTGATTCAAAGTGGGGAGCCTTGAACCCTCAACCCTAAACCCTCCGAATACTTAGAACCTTGGTTGCGGTTCAGGGCAACTGCGCTAATGACTGGCTGTGACCTTATTTGGGGCATGGCTACAAAACCAGGGTAGGTTGGTAGCGATCCTCCAGGTACGTCTCTCTATCCATAGGCCTCCATGTGGTTACTTGCCCCAAGACCCGAAGTCCCCATTGAGAAGGGCTTTCTGGTTAGCCCCCGTTCTCGAAATCGGAACAGCCCTAAACCCTAAACCCTAAACCCTAAACCCTAAACCCTAAACCCTAAACCCTAAACCCTAAACCCTAAACCCTAAACCCTAAACCCTAAACCTAAACCCTAAACCCTAAACCCTAAACCCACCCTGCGGCTCGTGATCCGAAGCCAAAGCACCCCCAAGTCCCTGTTCGAGGCGCTGCTCCGGGCGAAGAAAGTCAAGGACCCGAGCAATGTGCTTCAGGGTTGGGGAGGGTTTAGGCTTCAAATGGGTTTAGGGCTTGGGGAGTTGCGGGGGGTTAAAGTTTTTTATCTTATGGCGCTTTGTAGGCTTTCTGTGTTTAGGGCCCCAGCCAGGTCTGTCAAGGTTGGAACAATTCGGATCGTTTCGGAACGGTTCGGCTTGGGTTCAGGGGTTGGCTTGTCGAGGCTTGCAAAGCCGGAGTGGTTCGGAATTCTTTGGGGTTTACGAAAATAGGGGATCCCTAAAATAGTCCCCGAATAGTAGGGTTCCCTTAAAGACCCCAATAAGGTACCCCTAATATCGCAAACCCCTTTTTCGGCGTTTTCGACAGGGCACACATGGATCCTGAGTGTCTGCAAATAGTTTGAAGTGCCATGTTCTGCAACAGACAAGCAGCCCATCGGCTCGCCCAACCCCTTTAGGCCTGTAGGTGTCGGAGGAGCAGTAGTCATTGTAGTGGAGGCATGGTTGTAGCTTGGTGTGTGCTCAGCCGTAAAAAAGCCCAAGCAGCTTTCAAGCCGTGAACTCGAAACCCTCATACCCTCATGTCCTCACACCCTCTACCCTCATGCCCTCATACTCTCATACCCTCATCCCCTCATGCCCTCAAATCCTCATACCCTCATACCCTCAAACCCCAATCCCCAAGTACTTCGCCCTCAACCCAAAGACCTGCGCAGGAAGCTCGAAAGTTGGTCAACCGCCGAATGGACATCTTCAAGGAGGCAGGGTTTAGGGGTTGGGGTTTAGGGTTTCGAGTTCCGGATCAGTCTGGTTTGTTTCGGTTAGGCTTCCGCCTCCCAGTTTCGCATGGCCACCTGCTTTTTTGCTGTCTGTCCCTCAACCCTAAACGCTAAAGAGATGCAACCAGGCTGTACGATGAACTGATCGGAATCTATCTTAGGTGGGAGCTTCTTGTTTAAACATTGTCACCGGACGGCGTTTCCTGCCTCGCCTGGGGTCTTTTTCTGTAGCTATGCAACTTAAGCCCCTGGAGGCCAAAGACACTGTGGGCATAGCGGCCACGATGGATGCCACAGCAGAGGCTGCGCATGTTGCGAGAAGCTGCAGATACCTGCGGTTTACGTGTTATCGATCTTCTGTGGTTTAGAGCCCAGAGGTTCTGGGCTACGAAATAAGGTAGGCGGCATTGTGCTCTCTCAGCCTTGCGGCTTGAAGTCTTGCCCCCAGAAGGAAATGAACTCCCGCTGATGCTTGAGTTCCAGCCGTAGTAGGCCAATGAAGACTAGAGAAATATTCGCCGAGGCTGATAGGAGCACCGTGGTTCCTGCTGCCTCCCCGCATCAGCGTCCCTTAAAGTAGCATGTTTTCCCACAAACCCCTTCATCGAGGAGGCGCTTGGGCTCAACTTCTCTGTTTGCACCATTTCTACAAATCTCCGTGCGATGGCAAGGGCCCCCAACAGTGGATTCACGCCCTGTTTGGGCTGGGGCAGGAGGCTCGCATGGCGATCTTTTCGAGCTGCCATGATTGCGGCCGTGTCCGTCATTCTAAGCTCTGGTGGCAAGCCGTGGCTTTTTGTTGTTTGCCCAAGCTGTCGTGGTGGAGCTGCTACGATGCGCCCCGTTGGCACAGCTTTGCGGTTGAGGACGGCACGGGCGGTGAGGGAGCGGAGAGTCAGAGGGCAGAAGCCACACATTGGGGTGGGTGGCAGGGGAGGCAAGGGAGGCAGGGATAGATGGTGAGGGTGCCGCTAAAGTACTGACAGTCGAACTCTCCCGGGCAGCACCCGCCGCAGCGATCCTCAACCTAGCGGGCAAGGAGGTGGACGGGTCGATTTTCAATTACTTCCACATGGCAGCAACATTGAGTCGATTGGCCAAGTTCAGCCAGCGGCGACAGCTCAGCCCAAGTGACGTGGCGAGCCCCGTGTGGCCAAGATTGATGACCCGACTGCGTTCTATGCTCAAGAACGGCGTGCTCCCGGCCAGGGCTACAGCACAGGTTCTTTGGGCCATTGGTGAGCTTCATGACGGCTGTTTGGGAAGGTGGAAGGGTATGATGAGCATTTGTTGCTGGAGCTCATGAGGTACACGCGGAAGGAGGCAGGTGCGATGGATGCACAGAGTCTCTCAAATTGCTTGTTGACACTGGCCAAGTCCGGAGATGCAATGCCAGATATGCACGCTACTGTGGAGTCCATTGCAGAGCGCATGCCGCACGTAGTGCATGACATGATTCCACAGCATTTGTCAAACAGCTTGTGGGCCGCTGCTGCCCTGCAAGATATCGCGTCACATGTGCTGATGGCAGTGCCAGCCATTGCAGAGCAAATACCGCGCAAGGCAGGAGGCATGATTCCTCAACATTTGTCAAACAGCCTTTGGGCGGCTGCGAAGCTGCAAGAGGCCGCGCCATCTGTGCTGACAGCCGTGCCAGCAATGACAGAGCGCATACCGCTCAAGGCGGCAGAAATGAATGCTCAAGAACTGTCGAACAGCCTCTGGGCAGCTGCGAAGTTGCAAGATTCGGCACCGCAGGTCCGGCTGGCTGTGCCTGCTATTGCGGAATGCGTGCCGCGAAAGTTGAGGGACTTCAATACTCAGGGTTTGTCAAACAGCTTATGGGCAGCTGCGAAGTTGAAGAAAGCGGCACCAGAAGTCCTTGCGACTGTGCCAGCACTTGTGGCCCAGATTCCTTCCGTCACTTCAGCCATGGTGCCGGCAGCGTTGCAGATGTCCTTATGGGCTGCCGCAGAGCTTGGAGAGGACGACCTGGCCGCCCAGCTTCGGAGGAAGCGCGCCCGGCAGAAGCATTGACCACTTCCCGAGTTTAGGACGTCAATTCAGCAGGCGGAAGCCAGTCATATGGCCGCGTGCCAATATTAATTGCTTCTAACTATGTATCATGCCCGCGGGTTTTTGCGACAGACCTGGTTGTTGTTGTCTTGTTTTGCACGGCCCTCTTGTAGCTTCCAGTCGTGCATGCGCGCGACGGAGGTCGGCATCAACACGGGCGTTACACAGGTCTGTAACAGATGGGTGCGCGCACGGTCCGAGGGTTTGGGCGCGCAGCCATATAGTTTTGCAATCAGAGGAGGCAGGCCAGTCCATGTGGTTCGTTGTACTAACTAAAGTACCAGTTTTATTACAGAACAAAGTGGTGTCTCATGATTCTACACGTTTGCCCCTCATACATTAGTAGTATAGGGAGGAGGAGCATGGCAAGGTACCTTGGTGTAGACTTGGGGTATATGGTGATAGTTTTTTTGCTATGAACCGTATGTCAAGAAGTGATAGATGTGCAGAGTTGTCGCCTGATGTAATGGAGGCGTGCGGCAGAAACTGTTGTGCCGGATCACTGTCGTGCCATAGCTTTAAGAGTCTTTTCGGCCGCGGCCGGCGGGTTCTGCTTTGCACAGCTTTGCACCGCCCGGCACGGTGCTCTCCCGCAGATGCACGGCCCAGGGTTTGAGTGCGCTGTTGTGGGAAGTGGCTCGGCGGCCGCTTGGCCCCCGTGTCTTGGGAGCTCATGCAATGCCATATTTTCCTTGGTGCAGAATAGCAACCTCCAAAGCTGGTGGTGCATCAGACAGACGTGCATCAGGGCCCCCCATTGCATAGTTTTTTCTACCCGAAAAAAAGTTGCCGGTCTGGGGAGGGGAACCATGCTTTCGGTGCCTGCGTTGTGCATTCGATACAACACCCTCGGGCCCATTGGGCCCTGAATCCCAAACCAAGAAACACCCCCCCCAAAACCCTCCTTAAAGCCCTCAAGCCCAAAAACCCTTGGCCTTGAAGCCCTGGAATACCTCACAAAGCCTTCAAGGCCGTGCCTAAACCCTAAACCCTAAACCCTAAACCCCAAACCCCAAACCCCAAACCCTAAACCCTAAGCCCTAAGCCCTAAACCCTAACCCTGGAGGTCGTCATGGTCGAGGGCGACCCCAGTGGGGCGGCCAAGCTGCTCCAGGATGCCGTGAAGCTCTCCAAGGAGCTCAGGGGTTTGGGGTTTCGGAGTTTAGGGGTTTCAGGATGTTTAGGAGTTTAGGGTTTAGGGTTTAGGTTTTAGGGTCTAGGAGTTTAGGAGTTTAGGGGTTAGGGTTTAGGGTTTAGGGGTTTAGGGTTTTAGGGTTTAGGGTTTAGGGTTTAGGTTCCAGGTTTTAAGGGGGAGTTCGGGGTTTCAGGGGCTTTTTTTGGGGTGTTTGGGAGACTAGGGTGTCGAAGGGTAGCAAGGGTATGTAGGGTTTAGGAGTTTAGGTCAGGTGTTTAGGGTTGGGGGTGCTTGGGTGTTGTCAGGGTCTCGGGGGCTTGGCACTTAGGGTTTTTGTACACATTGTAGGCTATCTGGGGTTTAGGGATGTTTAGTGGTTGGGGTTTCGGTTTGTGAGGGGTTTAGGGGTTTTGGATCTAGGCTTGGGGGCTGCAGACTCGGGATGGCAGGTTTGAGGTTTAGGGGTCCGGCAGTTTCGTCTCTGGGCTTTGTTTCGGGTTGTGTCATGCGCTGCGCCAGCCGTGCGTAGACGGATCGTGGCACAAGCTTCTCGGTACAAGTTGTCGCGTCACCGAGGGTGTTGGGGGAGTGTCCCATCCTACATCTGAAGCCCGCACATCCTACAGTCCTAGAATCGGCCCTTGAAGCCCCAGGACAGTACCCTCAGATCCTAGATCCCTGAAGCCCTAAGCCCCCTGTAGCCAACAGCGGGTCTCCCCAAACCTCCAACCCACCCCAAGCTTCTGTGAAAGGTCTTTACTCTCATTGGTGAGCGCGAACGGTTCCTTGTAACATTGGGGTGTCCGTTTGGGGATACTAGAAAGCAAAGCGCCGCTTTGTATCTGGACCTTGTGTGCCAATTTGGGAGTACTTGTTGTATGCCCTTTTGGTTAGCATGGGAGCGAACGGAAAAACATGTTTGTGGGGGTTGGAATTTTGTACTTGGCATGATTCTGTATTATGTGTTGAGGGTTCACTCGTTTTGCTGCTGTGGAGGGCCGTCGGTGTTGCCTGACAAGCTTTTTTCCAGGACACGAAGATGAAGGAGCGCCAGCTGAAGAAGTACGAGGCTGCGCGACGGGCCGGCCAGAGGTGAATTCTCACTCATCAAAACCAACCCTGAATCCTGTTTGAAGGGTCCAGTACTTGGGGGCCCCCTAAACTCCCTCAACCCTCAACCCCTAAACCCCTAAGCCCTAGAAGCACGCCAACGGACCCCAAACCCTAAACCCTAAACCCCAAACCCCAAACTCCAAACCCCAAACCCTAAACCCTAAACCCTAAACCCCAAACCCCACACCCCAAACCCCAAACCCTAAACCCTAAACCCCTAACCCTTAAACCCGAAACCCGGCGCCACCCAGGCCACGCTCATGGCCGAGATGGCCAACTTCTACCTCCAGGGCCAGAAGTACGACGAAGCGCACCCCGGACTCGTAGGGGTCTTCTTGATTTGTAGGGGGCTTTTGACGGGGAATGCTGCGGTTTTGGGGTGGCTTTTGAGGGGGAGTTTTCTAAGGGAGGTTTTCTAAAAGGAGTTCTGGGTTTTGCGGGGCATTTTGAGGGGAGTTCCTGGGTTTTGGGGCTTTTAGGGGGTGGGGTCTTCTGGGTTTCGGGGGGTCTAAGGGGAGTTCAAGGTTTAGGAGAGCCCAGGGGAGGTTTCAAGTTTTGGGGCTCTAGGGTTGCTTAAAATTTCTAGGGTTAGGAGGCTTTTCTAGGGGAGAGAATAGGTTTAGGAGAACTTTAGGGTTTTGGGCTTTGTGGGTTCAGGGCGTCAGGGTTTAGGTTTTGAGCTTTCTTTTTTTTTGGGGGGGTTTCAGGGTTTGGGGTTTAGGTTCAGCCCTAAGCCTCAATATGCGCAAATCATACACATTGTAGTTCACGTCGTATATAGTATTGTTGCAATCTAGTTTTTTAGATGGTGCGGGCCCTGAAGTGCCACCCAAGCTTTGCACCCTAGCCCAGGCTGGACCATGCGCGGAAGGCCTGCCACCTCTTCCAGAAGATGGAGTGCGAGGTCGAGATGGCTCCTGGGCCCTTTTTTGGATTTTTTTTGGGGGGGGGGGGGGGGTGAGGGATTCAGCCGGTATACAACACTAAGCAGGATCCCTAACCCCAGCCCCCTCCAAACCCACATGCCTAGCCCAACCTCCAAAAACCCAACCATATCTGATGCCCAACAGGAATCCTCAGCCCCAAAATCCCACAAACCCGAAAACCCCAAAACCCCAAACCCAACAACCCCTGAAACCCTCCGAAAGCAAACGTGCCCGAGGCCACCACCATCAGCATCGAGGGGTCCCAAAACCCAACACTCAAAATCCAAACTCGCAGCTCAAGGCTCTAAACCCTAAACTTACTGAAGCCCCAAACCTCCGAGGCCCTAAAAACCCTCAACCCTAAACCCTCAACCCTCAACCCTCAACCCTAAATCCTAAACCCTCAACCGTAAAACCTCAACCCTCAACCCTCAACCTTCAACCCCTAAACCAACCCTCAACCTTCAACCCCCCCCTAAGGCCACCACCATCAGCCCTAGCAGCAACCCTAAACCCTAAACCCCCCTAGCCCTAAACCCTAGCCCTAAACCCTAGCCCTAAACCCTAAAAACCCTAAAAACCCTCAACCCTCAACCGCCCTAAGGCCACCACCATCAGCACCATGGTCATGGCCCTGCTCTGCATGGAGCGCGCGGACGAGGCCCTGGAGGCGCACAGGGACCCGGGGAGTTTCGTTAGAGTTTAGGGTTTCGGGTTTAGGGTTTAGGGTTTAGGGTTTAGGGTTTAGGGTTTAGGGTTTAGGGTTTAGGGTTTAGGATTTAGGGTTTAGGGTTTAGGGTGTAGGGTGTAGGGTGTAGGGTGTAGGGTGTAGGGTTTGGGTTTAGGGTTCAGCATCTCAAGTTCGAGCATTTACTAGGCAGTGTGTGTAAGCAACGGAAAAGAACCCACCCGCGCAAAGAATCCCATAACATCACGAAAATAGGAAGTTTTTAAACTTCTTTTCAGACGCATCACCCGCAGGAAGCCCTTAAAAGGCCCCAAGAGCCACCAAAAGGCTTGAGAAAGAAGGGGAATCCAGGAGCAGGCACAAAAAGTTTCCCTGACCTTCAAATAAATAAGGGCCTCTACGGGCCCTGACACGCCGAAGGCGAAAAGGGCCGAGGCTACCCCGAACCCCCAGCTTAAACCCTAACACCGCAACTTTAAAAACATCAAAGCAAGCATCAGGGCACAAGAAAGTGAATTCCATAAACCCTAAACCCTAATAGAGTATAGTTTGGGTGGCCGGGGTGGGTTGACGGGCAACGCGAGCGCGCGGCCCGGGGTGTTTCACACCCGAGCGCGCGCCCTCCCTGACACACCCTAGACCCTAAACCCTAAACCCTAAACCCTAAACCCCCAAAACCCTGAACCCTAAACCCTAACCCTAGACCCTAGACCCGAGACCCCAGACCCGAAACCCAAAACTAAACCCTAAACCCAAGTTTTGGGTCATCTCAAACCAGTCTCTGTGCAGGAGACGAACCGGGCGATCAAAATCTACGAGGGCCTTAACGACAAGAAGGGCGAGGCCGGCTCAAGTTCAGGGCTTTGGGTTTAGGGTTTAAGGTTTAAGGCAAAATTTAAGGCGAAGTGCTGGAAGCCCCCAGCTTCTAAGTCCGGACCCCCTTAAACCCCTAAACCTTAAGCTCCTAAATCTCCCCTTGTCAAGCTCCTCAAAACCCTGCACCCCCAAGCTCCTACAACCTCAAAAGCCCCAAGCCCCGAAGCTCAAAATCCTTTAACCACGAGCTGCAACCTTAAACCCTGAACCAATGAGCCTCTTCCTCTGAACCCCTTATAAGTCCCGAAAATCCTGAACCGCTTACAGCCCTTGAGCCCTAGATTTCAGCTGGTCGTGGGCCTCAAGGTAGCCGCGCTACCTGAAAAGTGACATTGTTTTGGCAGCCACCGGTTGGCCGTGAGGCTCATGCCGAGGCAGAGCAATCGGTTTCTTCTTGCATCCCTAGCGGCTACTGCTGCTACCTACTGCCGTAGAATTTGTGGCAAGTTTGCAACCCAATGGATTTTAAAACGGTTTAGGCCTTAGGCATTTAGCGCAGCCCTTGTTGTAAAATCCTGACCCCCCCCCCTCCACCCCCCAAAACTCTGGCTGGAAACCGCGAAGCCCTTGAGTCTCCGAGGGCCTTGCGTGGATCAACCACTGCTCCGGGCTCACCAAGATGGGCCGCTTCGAGGAGGCGCGGGCCGTAGAACTGCAGGGGCTTCCGGAAAATAGGGGTACCCCTATTTTGGGGGGTCCCTTTATAAGGGGATATTCGATTCTATTTGGGGTATGAAAGGGGTACCCTTATTCTTTTGGGAAATGCCCTGAAATGGGTTTCGGGAGTTTTGGGGGCTCAATGGGTTTGTGGAGTTTGGAGTTTCGGGTCAAGGGCTTCAGTGGATTCAGGCATTTTAGGGTTTAGGCTTCAGGGCAAAGAGAAGAGTTTAGGGTTGAATGGGTCAGGTATAGTGTCGCTTGGGGCTTAACGTCTAAGGTTCTCCCTTTAGCAGTCTCCCGCCAAGATTTTCACGCGGTCCGAGCGGTACCCTTACAGCCTCAGACCCAAATCGCTGCAAAACCCTTGGCCAGCATTTCCAGGAAGCCGCTCAAGCAAAGCGGCTTGCGGTCAAGCCCTAAAACCAATCAGTCCTATTTAGGGTTTCAGGCCTGGTTTAGGGTCTATAGGGTGTAGGGATGTGTAGGGTTTACAGGCGCAGAAGATCGCGATGCGCGCGCGGGACATCTTTGCCAGCCAGAAGCTTCTCATAGGCCAGGATTTGGGTTGTGTAGGGTAGATCAGTGGCAGGGGTCGTCTCAGGAACCATGCAACTATCCTAATTCAGGTTGGGGCTTATCGGGTTTTCTGGGGATTCAGGTACTGAGGGCTTAGAGGGGGATTGGCTTCAGGGCTCTCAGAATCCTTCGAAGCCTCAAGGGTATGGAGAGGTTCCTCTTCCCCAAGGTGCCCCAAAGCGCGAGTCTTTCTGAGCCACCCCCCCCCTCCCACGCCCCGTGCAGGTGAGGGCCAGGCCTTGGACCACCTTTCCAGCTTGCACATGACCAAGGCCCTTGGGTTTTAGAGTTTGGGGGTGACCCTGTGAGGTTTGGGTCTAGGCCCTGAATTCTTTGAAGCCGGCATTGGGGGCTGTTGAAGTTGCCCACTCTCCCGCGTCTCGTGTGCTCCCCATACCCCCCCCACATACCCCCCCACACCCCCCCCACCCCCCCCCACCCTTGCTTGGGTCTTTGGTTGTGCCTTTGGTTGTGCAACCCTGCCGGAAGGGTTGGGCATGCGCACACTAAACCCAAGATTGCGGGCTCGAAACGCTGGGGCTTGCTGAGCTCGGGGGCCTTGGGCACGCATCGGGGCTGCTACGTTTCTGGCGTCGTGGATTCCCCAATCCCTAACCCCTAAACCCGAAACCGAAGAGAGAGAAAGCGGATCCCCAGCTCGAAGACGTCCAAGGGGCGCCCGCCTCAGAGTCCGCAAGGAGTCAAAGGCCCAAGCCGCCTCGGCCTAAAGCTCTTTGAGCCCTTTGCCTAACCCTTCATCCCTTCTTCTTGAAGTGAAGACCCCTGAGCCCTAAGCACTCAGCCCTAGTTAACCCCAAAGCTCTGGAGGATAGCAGCAACGAGTACAGACTGAAGTTCCCTGCGCCTGCCCGGGCCTTTTGGCCAAGTGAAACTATAGTCCTGGCCAGCTGGGAAATTCGAAATTCGAACCTGCACATCTGTGCAGGGCGAGTTCGCCAAGTCTGCCACCTGCGCCAAGCGTGCGAAGCAGATCTTCAACGAGGTCGGGGGTTCAGGGAATGGATGTGAACCCCCCAAAGAACTCCTGAACCCGAACCCTAAAAACCCCAAACCCCCAAAACCCCAAAACCACCAAACCCGAAGTCCTTTGCCAGGCATCCTGCTTCCGACAGGAGGCCGTGGTGGGGTTTAGGGAGCCCCGAGGGGCTGAAAGAGGGCTTTCCGTACCCCCCCGCACATTGCAGCGGGTTTAGGGTTTAGAGTTTGGTGTTTCGGGTTGAGGGTTTAGGGGCACATTGCAGCCTTACGGTTACCCTTGGGGATACTTGGGGATTTTTTTCATTTTTGGGTACCATAATTCCCACAATAAAAGCTATTCTCATGTTTGCTAGGGTTCCAAGTTCAATTTGGGGTTGGGGTGTAGGTTTCGAGGTTGAGGGCTGATGGTTTTGTAAGGTCGAGGCCTTAAGGAATGTGGTATTGTAAAGACTCTGCGATTCTGCCGACAGCATTCAATTCTCCGGAAACGACTTCAGTTAGCCCCACAGTCCAAGACCCCGAGTTGATAGGCCCAAGGGATAGTTTGTGGTCTCCCGCCTTGGGTCCAAGAGCTGCTTAAGAAGACTTTGTCACACCCTGGAATCCTAAACAGAAAGATCAGAAAGCAGCAAGGATCGGAACCCTAAAGCCGCCCTAAGACCCTGAAGACCTCCTCGAACTCCCGAAGCTCCCCCCCCCAAGCCCCCCCAAAACCTGAAGCCGCCAAGGCCCTAACCCCTGAAAACGCTGAAGCTGTTGTCACCCTCATCTTACCAGATCGTAGCAGGGAATGTGTTAGGTGGGTACCTTACATCCCCACATCAGCCCTAAGCCCTATGGAGCCGTTCAAAGACCTCTCCGCGCGCGCTTGCGCCAGGCCTTCATGGCCTGGGCCGAGGCTGAAGCCCTCTTCGGCCTGGCGCAGATGCAGGCGCTTTAGGGTTTAGGGTTTTCGGGGGCAGGTTCAGGGTTCAGGGTTTAGGGTTTAGGGTCCAGGGTCCAGGGTTTAGAGTCTAGAGTTAATCTAGGGTTTAGGGTTTAGGGTCCAGGGTCCAGGGTTTAGAGTCTAGAGTTAATCTAGGGTTTAGGGTTTAGGGTTTAGGGTCCCCCAAGTCCCGCCCTCGACCCACGCCGCAACTTCCTCTGGCGCAGGACGACCACAAGCCGGGGGATGACCTTCCCGAGAGCTTCAAGAAGGCTCTTTTGTTTTTTTTTGGGGGGGGAGGGGGGGCGGGGCAAGTTGGGTTTGGGTTTAGGGTTTAGGGTTTAGGGTTTAGGGTTTAGGGTTTAGGGTTTAGGGTTTAGGGTTCAGGGTTTAGGGTTTAGGGTTTAGGGTTTAGGGCTGAAGGCTCTTTTGTTTTCGGGGGGCAAGTTGGGTTTAGGGCTGAAGGTTGCGTGTTCAGAAACCCTGTCAACCCTCAATCCCCAAACCCCCAAACTCTAAGCCCCAATGGGGAGATCTGGGCATGCCATATGTTCAGGGTTTAGGATTTGGGATTTAAAGTTTCGGGTTTGGGGTTTAGGAAACAGGGCTTAGGTTCTAGGGTGCCTGTTGGGGGGCCCGCTGCAAGAGCAGAAGAGCTGCAACCCTAAACCCTAAACCCTAAACCCTAAACCCTAAACCCTAAACCCTAAACCCTAAACCCTAAACCGTTAGGGGTTTAGGGTTTAGGGTTTAGGGCTAAGGGTTTCTACGCCCTCAAACGCTCGGCCCTCAAGCCCCCAGACCCCCCAAAAAGAAGCGGGCGGGAGGCCTGCGACGCCGCTGAAGAGGCGTGGGTGGGCAGGGGGAGTTTCTGGTGTTCGGAGAAGTTTCGGCCGGGTTAGGGCTCCACCCATCGTCGCAATGGGCTGACTGGACGGGAGTTTCAAGGCTTAGGGCTGTGAGCAGGCCTTGAAGTTGGCGAGGGCCGTTGACGACGAGATCCTCATCATGCACTCGCAGCAGGCGATGGCTTGTGCCTTGTGGCCGGGGGCCGGGGATTGAGGGTGCTTCCAAACACAATCCCCCTCCTCATTCTCATGCTGATGTACTTGGCTCACACAAGATCATATGCACATGCTTTGTGGCTTGTGCAAGTTGCCTTGCAAACTGGAGCCTGGCCCTACACCCAATCCTTTCACGTGCGGCGGAGGACAGTGCTACCTGTTACTTGATTTCGTCCTTGTTTGGGACTGTCTTGGCCCTTATTATGGTCTTTAAGGCCCTTACCCCCTCCTTAACCCTAAACCCTAAACCCTAAACCCTAAACCCTAAACCCTAAACCCTAAACCCTAAACCCTAAACCCTAAACCCTAAACCCTAAGCCCCCCCCCCCTTAGAATTCCGTCGGAGAGGTGGTCGCCAAGACGCGCATCATGTCCTTCCGCCACTGGGAGGCGGGAGTTAGACAGGTTTCAAGCAAAGGGATGACGAGATCTGAGTGTGGGCTTCTCTTTATGCTATTTGACCTTAAACCAAAACTTAAAAAGACCTGGAGTCCTAAACCTTAAGCCCCAAACCCCTGAACCCTAAACCCTAGTGGGTTTGGGGTTCAGATGCTGCTTTGTGTAGGGTTTAGGGTTCAGGGCTTATTGTTTAGGGTTACCTCCTCAACCCTTGCAACCCTTAAGCCAGAGTTTCGCAGGCCGAGGATCCGGTGCAGGAGGCCTGGTACCGGAAACGCCTTCTGTCTTCCGATACGGGGCCTTTTGCGAATTTTTTTGGTGGCCTGCGCGGGCTGAAAGGAATCCCAAAACAAGCCCCAGAGGAAGCTTCTGGGGGTTTTAGGGGCTTCACAGGTTTGGGGGCTTTCCTGGGTTTCTGGGGGCTTTAGCAGGGCTGGGAGGGTGCTGGGCGCCTTAAGGGTTTGAGGGTGGAAGGGTTTTAGGGCGTGCGGCTTTTGAGGCTGTGGGGCTTCCGGCCTGAAGAACTCTTCAACCGTGCCCCCCCCCCCGTCGTGGTTTTGTTTTTTTGGGTTTCTGGCATTACTTTCCTGCAGCCCGTTGCATGCAGTGAGGGGCTTCAGAGTTTCGGAGTTTGCGAGCATCAGGCTTCAGCTGTGGGTTCAGGGGTTTAGGTAAACAGTTTGGAGTTCACATGGTTAGGGGGTTTAGGGGGTTGAGGGTTAACGGGTTTTTAACCCCTTCTTTCTCATGCAGGCCTTGGAAATCGCCCAGAAGAACAGCCAAAGATTCTGGGCTGCCTCAGCTAGGGGTTTTAGGGTTTGGGGTCGGGGGGGGGTTTGGGATTTTGGGATTTGGGGAATTCAGGGTTTCCGGTTCTTGAGGCGTAGGTTTTGAGCCTCTCGCAGTTGGGGTTTAGTGCGCGCAGTCGGTTCCAACACGGTCGCTCTCCGGAACCCTCAAACCCTAAAAACACCGACCCGAAACCCCTGCAGAGCTTGAGAGGAGAAGCCGAAACCACCCTGGAAACCCAAATCCCACCTTAAACCCCAAGCCCCAGCAGCCCTGAACCGCCCTGGACTCTTAACCCCCCAACCCCAACACATATGGGGGCTTATTCAATCCACTAAATCAGCCGTATTTATGGTAAAGCCAATCGCGATAGTCATAACTACAGGCAATGTTAAATTACAACAATCAAAGCAATATTCAGTTCACAGTTTGTGCATATTCCCGAAACAGGCACCCCAGTTGAACGACGATTTCATGAAACTTGGCACATGGTATGGTGCATTTTCAGTCAGAACGGGAGGAATATTCATGTGCGCCTGAACCGACGCTCCGGCGAGGAGTCAAACTAAACAGGAAACCCCAAGCCCTAAACTAAAAACCCTAAACCCAAGAACCTTCAACCCTAAAACCCTGAACCCTAAACCCTAAATTTGCCTATTGAGGCATGGAAGAAGCCAGCCTCTTCCTGCTAAAGGCTGGGGCGGAGGGGGGGGACTTGGGTCGGTAAGGTCCCCTAAAGCCCTAAACCCCTCAACCCTTACACTGCTAACCCCCCAAACCTTTCAAACCATCTAAACCTAACCCTCCCGAAACCCTAAAACCTGACCCCAAGCCTAAACATTGAGGCTGGGGCGGGTCTCGGAACCTCAGGGGGGTCTGTCCAGATCTTGAAGGGCAGAACCCTAAACCTCCGAAACCCTAAACCCGAACTCCTAAACAGTTGATCCCCTTCGAGACCTTAAAGTGAGAAAGGCGCAAAGCTGTATGCCCTATTCCCCCAAAGCCCTAAACCCTAGAATGGGGGCTTGAAGATTAACCAGCTCGCGGCAGCGGCCTCGGATTGGATCTTCCAACAGTCGTCGATTGACATGGAGGCGGAGATTCTGAATATACAGCGCTTGTACTCCTGCCACTGCCAACCTCTTCCGATTCGTGCCGCCAGTTGCTGTTGCGCTCGAAGCGCTCGGCACTCGCGTACTTTTGGGTTTTGTGGCCGTTGCGGTCGGAAGTGGGGTGGTGCCTGCAAAGAAGAAGCACATTGTCAAAGCCGAAGAGTTCGGAGATTTCATGGCCGCTGGCGTGGACTTGGTAAGCAGGATGCTCTCTGCAACGACGTGCGCAATCCTTCAGGCCTCCCAAAGCTTAAGCCCGAAACTCTCAAAGCCTTGAAGCCCTGAAACCCTTGGCTGCACTGGCGAACCCGGCACCACATGTGCGTCCACATGGAACTGACACGTGCCAAACATCTTGAACCTGGAACATGTCAAGCCCCCTAAACCGTAAACCCTAAATCCCAACCCTAAAGCCTAAACCTTCCAAGCCCTAGGCCGTGAACACCCCAGACGGTCTGAACACCCGGAACACCCCAAACCCTCATCCTAAACCCGAAGCCCTAAGCTTGAAAGAGCCCTACAACACCGTAAACCCTAAACCCTAAACCCTAAACCCGCACACCCCTTAACTTCTGGATCCTTACGACGCCTTCGCAGGCGCAGATCCACATCTGCAACGGCGAGGATGCCAAAGCCCAGGAGGCGCCGGTTTAGGCTTTCAGGGTTTAGGGTTTAGGGTTTGGGGTTTAGGGTGTGGGATTTAGGGTTTAGGGTTCAAGGTTTAGGGTTTAGGGTTTAGGGTTTAGGGTTTAGAGGCTCTTAGGGGAGTCAGAATCAGAAGTGCTAGGTAGGCTCGAAAGTGTTGTCTCAGAGGTTTTCAGGGTCCAATTTAGGGTGTTGGGAAAGGTTTTCGGGGTTCGGGGTGCTTGCAGGGATTGAGAGTTTTTTGGGGTCTTGGGTGGTTTTGAAGGCTTTTTGTGGTTCGGGGCTTTGAGTTGGGGTTTACGGTGTTAGGTTTTCGGGTCAGGGTCTCAAGGGTTTAGGGCTTTCAGGGTTCAGGGTTTACAGTAAGGGACTAGGTTTAGGGACACAGGATGGAGGGTTCAGGATCTGGGCATACCTTCACAAGAGACCCGAAGGGGCTGCTTGTACTTGGAGGTTCATGAATAGTTGTAAGTAGGTTTTTAAGACCCTCCTGACCCAAAGCATAACCTCCGCACAAGCACCTTTTTGTCAATCAGGTTTCAAGGTCCGAAAAGCCTTAACAAGCCGAAACAGCAGCCCCACAGGCCACCCTAAACCCTAAACCCTAAACCCGAAGCCCCAAACTCATTGGGGGGCGGCGCTTAAGCCCTTCGACCTCGATGGCGCAAGCCCCGCCTCCCACAGCTCGGGGGTCGGTAGCACGCAGGGCCCGGTACCGGAGCACGTTCTAGTACTGGTCCCTTAGAAAAGAGAAATTTACCCTAAACCTTTCCTTGTTGCTGGAGGTGGCTGGCCTTTTCGGGGGTTCCCCAAACCCCCAGGCCAGGAGGGACCCTTCTGCTGCAGGGGTCAGGCCCTCCGCCTAGCCGTCTGGCCCCCCTCCCCCCCACCCCCCTACCATTCCTTTGACTCTCGGATCCAACCCCGAAAGTCATGAAACTGAATAAGTTTTTAGAAGTGGACTGTTGCCTTGAGTTTAGGCCTAAACCCTAAGAGGAATAGGTTTGGGTGGGACGGCGCGGGGTGGGAGACAAGTGTTAGATGGCCCTCCACACAATCGGGCCAAAGCTGCTCTTCGCACCTCACGAAGCTTTCCAGCTTGTTCCGAAACCTAACCTTCACAGCACCTACGCCCTATCACAGCAAACCCTAAACCCTAAACCCTAAGCCCTAAGCCCTACGCCCTAACCCTAACCCTAAACCCTAAACCCCAAAACCTAAGCCCTAACCCTAACCCTAACCCTAAACCCTAAACCCTAAACCCTAAACCCCCCGAACGACCCCCCCGCAAAAAAGCCGCGAGGTGGCGAAGCAAGCGCGGGCCCTCTTCGAAGAGTTGGGCTCCGAGCAGGGCATGGAGCGCCCGGCTTCGGGGTTAGGGGTTAGGGGTTTTGGGGTCGGTTTAGGGTTTAGGGTTTAGGGTTTAGGGTTTAGGGTTTAGGGTTTGTGGTTTGTGGTTTAGGGTTTTCGGGTTTCGCTTGGGGGCGTGGGGCTCTTAGAGGGAAGGCGTATGTTTTTGCTCCTTCCATTCTTGGCTCCCTGGTCCCCTGGTCCCTTCGGTCCCCTCGGTCCCCTCGGTTCTCTCGGTCCCCTCGGTCCCCTCGGTCCCACATGTATAGTATATAAAAATAATACATAAGAAAGAATATACAAGATATATTAGATAATCCAATATAAAATATAAATACATAGTATATAGTTTATTATATATTATATACTATATACAATATATAGTATCTAAATTAAAATATATCATATATATATATATATGCATATTATGATATATAATATAGTATAGTATATAATATGCTATAATATGTGATACATTATAATATATAATATATTTATATATATTATAATTATAATACTCTACAAAGATATAAGATATTATCATTATAGTAGTAATTAGAATAATATAAATCAGGTAATAATATATAAATATAATATATAATATATAATTAAATATATAAATAATATAATATATAATATATAATATATTAATATATAATAATATAATAATATGATAATATTTTTAAATGATATTATATAAGATATAATATATAAATATAATATTTAATATATAATGTATTATATATAATTTATATAATATATAATATAATATATAATATATAAGATATAATATATAATATATAATATAATATATCTATAATATTATAATATATAATATATAAATACAATACATATACATAATATATATAATAATACAATAAATATAATAAATATATAATTATAATTAATATAATTAATATAAAATATTAATATATAATATATTAATAAATAATAATATTAAATAATATATAATATAAAATATATAATATATAATATGTAATATTATTATATAATACATATATATATTATATAAGATATATTATATAATATATAGAATATAATATATAATGTATGATTTATAATTTATACTCTAGCATGTAATTTTTATATATAATACATAATATATAATATGCAATATGTAATGTGTAATATTTAATATATAATATATAATATATCGAGACCGGAACGCTGTGGGAGTGCACTTTCTATGTGTTTAAAGATGTTAAAAACACTCTCACAGCGTACCCGTATTTTATATAAACAAAATCACGAGTCATGCACAACATGTGCGTGAGCCAACACAAAGCAGCGATACGGTGTTTGTCCTGTCCCCGTTTTCAAAATACATGGGCAAACTTTATTGGAATCCTAGAAACAACAATAGGAATCCTCCATTTACATCCGTAGGAACCCTATTTTAAATTCGTCGGAGCCGTAAAGTCAATAGGAAGCCTCTTAAAATGAATTGGAGGCCCCTCACAAAAAAGAGAGAGAATCCTCGTAGAACGAATAGGAATCCAATTAAACTGAAGAGGGACCCTACTACAATTCATACGAACCAATCGGACTCATATAAAAAATAATGTGAACCCTTAGAAAAATGATCAGAATCTTACTGAAAAGAATGAGCCTAAACCAATAGGAGCCCCTATAAAAATGAATGAGATGTTTATCAATATTAATACGAATCCCATTAACATGAACAAGAATCTGATTAAAATTGATAGGAATCTTATTACATGAGTAGGAGCCTTATTTCTTGTTGCACGTTTTTCGTGTGTTTCCTTTAAGGGCTTTTTTAACGTTTTGCGCGTTTTTTCGTGAAAAAGTGCACTCCCACAGCGTCCCATTTTCAAAAGACAAAAAACATATTATATATTATATATTATATAATATGTAATATGTAATATATAATATATAATGTATAATATATAGTATATAGTATTTAATACATTATATATATATATATAGTTTGTGAAGTCGACCAGCACTGGACTTGCACTAAGCCAATGCAATCACAGCCCGGTCACGCTGTTTTACGACTTCGTGAGTCCAAGCACTTGTGCAGCTACGCCTGAGTGCGTCCGGTCGGACCGCACAGCAACCTAGGAGCTACTGTACGACTCTACCGTGCTCAAAGGCACAAGCTCGGTACTTGAGCCAAAATATTGGCATTGTTACGAATTGCAAAACTCTACATGCAAAGGAAAACTACAAGGTGGTCTGCCGAGTCCTAATGCATCACAGAGCAGAAGATGCATATGCACTCATGTCAGCTCACATTCGCCCCTCAGCCGAGGCTCCGGTGAGTGTCTTCCACAAGGAGGGCGGGCGTCCGTCGCGGCTTTGGGCGCAAGCCCGCAAACGAAGACACGCGAAACGAGACGACCCAAACGAGCGACCGTCCAAAACCAGCCTAAACCAGGCGGACCGGTCTTTTGCATGACCTGAGTCGAGGCTCCAGTACACAGAGCCCACTGAGTGCCTTGAGGACTGCTACGGCAGACACTGAAATCTATGGTACAGATGGTACACTGTACACGGCCGGTCCTAAGCTACGGCTACGGCTACTCACCTATCCGGAACTACCCTACGGGCTACCAGACTCAGCGAGAGCCGC